TAGCAGATATGAACTAGTGATGAGAAAAATATCTCTAGTGCTTTTCCCTTAATCCTGCAGAGCTCCATCCTTGTGTCTGCTGTGTGTTTTATTCCCATTGTCTATTCTGACTGTGGATTCTGTGAATTGGAGGTCAAAATGTCCGTAAGTCATCAGGTTGAAGAAGGCTGCCTGTGACCTTAGTATTGTAATGCATATGGGCTATTCCAAACTCCTCCTTTTTTAGATTATTAATTCCTATTTCTTATTTGCTGATTTTATTGTTGTTTGGAGGATGTGACATGTCAGTTACATAGAGATACAAGGTCTTTGGGGAGGGATAATTAACTTTCTATTTATAGTTTTGTGTAGGATTGATCTTCATACTGGGATGAATCATTTATTTGACAGTTTTATCTGCAGCTTTGTTTGCGAATGTTCCATGATTAGACAAATATGCCTGAGAACGATAGCTGCTTGAGAGGCGGGGGGGGGGGGGAATCTTTCCACTTATTCTTTCAGAACATCTACTTGTTACTGCAATATATTTATGGAGTGGGGAGTTATAAAAACTCCTGTGAAAAGTTCCTCTTTTGGACGTGGACATTAAATCAGATTTATATCAGCTATAGTTTGCAAAATGTATTTTGCTATGAATGTACTTTGATTCTCTTTGCATATTGTAAGCTCAAGATTCTCAACCATATATTCCAACCATAGGATTGTTTCTGGAATGTAATATACTACACAAATGTTCTCAGAAATAAGCATACTGTGGTAGCATCACACCTACATTTTGAAATCCATTATCAACATAAAAGTAATCTCGAATAGCACTTTTTTGCCTGATGATAATCTGAACTCAGGTCCAATGATGATGATAAGGATAATACATTGCATGAGATAGATTGCAAGATGATTACATTTTTTTCTTTTTCTATTTTTTTGTATTATAACATTTCTCTTTTATTTTCATTTTCATTTTCATACACTCACATGTATACTGTACATAGCCAACGCCATATAGCATTAAACAATAATTGCATCAATTCCTCTTGTCAACAATGCCCCAGAAAATAGAAACCCAATATAACTCTTCCGCTCTCCATATACCTCCTTCTTCCATCACCCTCCAACTTTCTATCTTCCCTCCATCATCCCCCTCTACCCTACTTCCCCTCCCCCTCTACCACTCTTCTCTCCACATCTACATCCCCCTCTACCCTACTTCCCCTCCCCCTCTACCACTCTTCTCTCCACATCTACTCCCCCCCTTCCTTCTCACCTTTCCCTCCCACCCTCTCTCCCATCCCTCTCTGCCCATCTTTATTCTTTCCCACTCCTCCGCTCCTTGGTGTATTTCCGCTATATGTCAATATACTTGGCCTATCCTATTTTAAAAGAAAAGTTTAGAAAAAAAATAGTATACATGTGAAGTTACATTACATTGAGATCTAACACATCTTGTCTAACTTAATATATATCCGTCCCTCCCCCACCCTCCCCCCCACCTCCTTCCCCCTCCCGACTTCCCAGAACCCGTACACGGTATAGATTTTTAACAAACACAGTCTAAGATGATTACATTTTTGAAATATCTGAATATCACTTTTTCCATGCTCTAAATCATGAGCAAAACCTAAACAAGGCAATTAAATAATAATAATAAAAAAATCAGGGGACCCAACAGTTTCAGAGTTGTAAGGAGAGACAAGGGTGAGGAAAGAGAGAGCAGGGACATTCCTATATTGCCAGTAATTAAGAGGAAGGGGAAAAAGGAAACAAAGGGAGAAACTACTTACCCAATGCCATATAATTCCTGTTGTTTGTCAGTTTAATAATAAAATAAAATTAGAAGGCAACGTGAGCTGTCATGTACAGTGGTTAGGGATGAATTTTACAGATACAAGTAATATTGTGTGTACTTAGTTGGTATAATCCACATACCCAACATAACCCTTTCATTAAAGGACTTGCTTGATTGGCTGAAAGAAGAAATACTAGCAAACTTTCCAAATCTGCCTTTGGATTCTGTGTCATAGCCCCTTCCTCATGCTCAGACGATGGGGAAGATTAAGGAAGATCTTGGAGAACAAAATCGATAAGCAATGGTCCTAGATGACTAGGCTGGAAGGTTTGAACTCCATTAACAAAAGACTTGTAGGCCCAGCTCTGATTGGAACTTCTCAGAGCATCCTTCAAGTCATCAACTCCAGGTGAGATGCCAAAGAGCTAAAATATATCAGGAATGCGAGATTGGACAGTTCCTGTGCTCCTGGAATACACTGACATTCTGAGCTGAGTGAATGCTGTCCAGCATGATTAGAACAGAGATGTGAAATCTGGACCTAAAGCTTACCATCTGGATGGATGTGAGTCAGAGCTGGGTTCATCTTTGATGCGCTTCATTAAATAGCTGCCTGAAATCCTGCTAACCTTGATATATTTGACTTTGCTTTGACTTAATGCCATTTTGGATTTGGAATTTTAGGTTGATTAGCTCAGTTCAAATATTGGGCTGTTTTGGGGCTAAACCTTTGCATAATTACCTACCTATTGCAGTTTGTAAATTTGTTTGACGTCCCAGCTTAGTTTTCTGTTTATGAGAGGTTAGATAGGAAAAGGAACACAGTAGTCTCACTTTCTATGTGCAATGCTCTAGTTTCTGAGTAACTGGTTAAGGAAGAAAAAGGGCTTTTGTGGCTAATCCTCCACTCCATATTAATAAAGACTGCCTTATAAATGGATAGATTAAAAGGCGTCTATGGTATTGTAAACTGATGCACTAGAAATAAATTACTATGCATGCTTCTAGAAAGGAGTCTCTGTTCCTAGGGTTGGTCTGGGGCAAATCTAAGCACAGCACCTGAGCACGTGTCCTCCAGCTAAGTGAAATGGTCAAATGCCATATAAACATATTAATCTTTCCTAGGAACTCAGCTGTTTGGTCTAATTGGTATGTTTCTCCAGTGGGTTTACTTTGTTCCTCTTGGGAACAGTTTTTTCTTATCCCTTTTTGAGGTTGAGAAACAAGAAGTGCTTAGCTTTGAGTGATCTTTCTTGTTAATAACTGTTATAGTTCAAATTTAGCATTTCTTTAAGAGCCCTTTAATTAGCTGAGATGAAGAGATACGCGTTGGCTTGTGAAGTAGACCTTTTGTATCCCACAGTGATGAGTTCATAAAAGTTTAGATTTTGAGCATGGGCTTTTTTTCAGGCATACTTAATTGAATGCTAAATACTGATTGCAATTGAGTAATAGTTGTCTCTGGATATAAGCATTTAGAGGCAGATGTCAACTGCAACTTCCAAGTAGCCTTCAAAAGTAGCCCCACATAAAGTACGTGACAGTAGTTGACTTTAGGGGTAGTAATAGAATGTGAAGTGGTGAGATTACAGTGCCTTGAACCAGCATGACCCAATAATTATTGTCACTGCATTTAGGGGATGGTCCAAATAATCACAGAAAGTTGTTCAACAAAATGTTGTAATTTAAGGCTATGGTCTTAGGTCTCCACAGTAATGCATGATGCACAAATTGAAGTCAGTAAGATTTGGTATTGAGTTGAAATAATAGCTAGTTTCAGACACAAACATTTTAGCAAATGAAGGTAAATATGTGTGTCTTAGGATAATGTTGCAGGATCCAATTTGAGTCAGTCACTTGGATCAAAAGTTTTTTCTTCAAAGCTTTCGGGCTGGAGCCCATCATCAGGGAACTTCTATCCAGAATATGCACATACATGAGAGAGGTTCCCTGATGATGGGCTCCAGCACTAGTCCAAAAACTTTGAAGAATAAACCTTTGGTCCCAATGACAAACTCAGATTGGATCCTGCAACAAATCCTTTAATTTGGTTGAGTCCTGGTGATTTCGTTCTTTCTCACATGTTCCCGCTTTTTGTCAAATCATATCCTGTCATTTACACTTGAAACTTTTAATTATTTTCAACTTCCTTGTAAATTAGTATTTCATTGAGAAAAAAAGAGTCACAGGAAGGATAGAAGGCCATCTAAGACCACCCCTCTGTCACATAACGGCAAACTCTGATTTGTGGAATCATTGCATCCTGAGGGTTTGTCTTAGAGGGAACAAATCTGTGCAATAATCTGGGAAAACAGTTACAGTATTCTGTTCCCAAATAATTTGGTTCAAAGTAGCATGTACCAAATATTTTCTGTTATCATCCTCATGTATATACAGTATCTATGAAATGTCTGAATAATAAAGTGAATAGCCAAATCTAGGCGGATGGCTTGCAAAATGTTGTGAATCTAGCCTTGTAGATTGTTGGCAACTGACATACTAATGAAACTATTTAAATAGGAATGATCTGCCCATTTGTTAGACTTTAAGGAACAGGTGGTGTTTTCAGTGTAATAGGTAACAATGATATCAAAATATCACACCTTCTCTTAATTTTGGGATAATTCTTTTCTACTGAGAACATTTTTTTTACAAATGTAAATGTTGCCTTTAAAGTAAAAGTGTATGGGAAAATCTGGTCATATGTATGTCTCATTCAGTTTCACCCTATACTGTTAGTCATTTTTTAAATTGTGCAATGAATTTAAGTGAAGCCAGTCAAACCTGTTTCTCCAAGTGCTGCCCTTTAAATTCAACTTGCAGATTCTGAAATTTACATGAACGTAAAAGGCATTTCAATGGGTTTGTTTCTTTTCTTATTGAGGGGGCTGTGTGAGAGTTGCTTCATATAGCGATTTGTGGAAATAGCAAAGACAAGCCATCTAATTAGAATCTTCTTCATTTCTTCACTTCACATCTTTGCATTTTACTCCTATTTAAACCAAGAGATACCATTTTAGGTTTGCATTTGTGTTAGACTATTTTTTAATGATAATTAAAGGTAAGGTAAAGAAAAGTAGTTATTACGTACTGTAGCGTGGCTTTTGTAACATCAGCACATAAATGATAAATGTAAATGATGAAAATGGAACTATACACCCATTCTGGTTAAACTTTTGTTTTGCTTCTCTCTTTTTTCTTCCCCACCAGGATTTTGGCATATATTCACAGGCTCCTACAAGACAATAATGAAATCTTTGAATGGCAGGTGATAACATAACAACAGCTCCAGTAACTGCTCATTTAGTTAGAAATCTAAATTCCACATTTTTCCCTAAGAGAGTAGTGCCGTGCTTCAGGACTTGTTGGGTGAGGTATGTAGGTTCTATGCATTTTTGTATGAGAGCTTTCTAATGAAATTTTTGAGATTAGAACATATCTTATCATTATACCTGTTCACTTCCCATCCTCTCACTACTGATAGCACACACTTTCTCCTCCAGGTTTGAATTGCTTACCAGCCAATTTTAGAATGCGTTTTGATCTTTAATGGATAAATAGTAGATTATAAATGGCCACAGACCATTAAAACTGAAATATTTGCTGCTGTGGCATGCTAATAAAGATTAATGTAGTCTGTTACAATTAAGCAACACAAAAACACAAAGTTAATATGACTTCTGAAGATTTTTCATTTTGTACAAAATACAGATTTGCTAGAAGATAAATTGAAAAAGTCACACACACACACACACAGTCATTACTCCCTTTACTTCACTTTGCCAGCCCATTTTTTGGAGGGGAAAGGGCAGTGAATGCAATTCCAAAGAAAACATGGGTTTGCAGTCACTGACCTTTTCCATTTGGTAAGAGTACATAGAGGGCCTTATGCCATAGCTCCAGAAGTGGTAGCTCTTTGCTTTGCAGCAGACTATCAAAGGAAAGAACAGGCTACAGATATTAGACAAGGGTCCCGGAATCTTCAAATAAGGTATCCGCTAGCACTATTAGCCTTGGAAACCACTTTGTTTTTCTCTGTTGAAAGTAATTAAGACAAACTTGGCTTTAAAATAATTAGCCTGCTGCTATCATATATAGTTGGAGCTGAGAATACATTTAGTTCAGGTGACAAAGGTTTTGTATTATTGAACCTTTCTTCCCATTTTCACAGTCTTAAAACTTAGCTTGCTGTAGAAAGTACGGATCTGATGGTAATAGCCTCCCACCAGAATCTAATTTAAGTTTGCAATCTGCTGTCTTGTAAGGTACTTCACATTTAATGGTGATGGTGTAAATTCAGGAGAGCTAAAACTTTGGAGATTTTAATTTAGCTTGTAATTTCAAGTAAAGTTAATAAGAAACAAAAGAAACAATAACAAAATGCTTAGTAAAAAGACAATTTGTTAGGAAAGCAAGAACTAGGAAAATCAATAGATTTTATTTATAATTAATATATCAGTGTATTGTTCTGTAAAGATTTACCACGTAAATAGCTGAGATGTCATAGCAATAAAATCAAGAGCTGTAATCTAGAAAGTACCCAGTTCATTTTTATTAGTTTAATTATTACTATTAGTTCATGTTGATTAGATGTACGTTCCATTTTCCCTTGAGGACTTCAGAGTTATAAACTGAACAATCCTATGGGAGAGGGAGAGTTTCAGAATCACCCAGGAAGCTACATCCTTAAACAGGAAATATTTGAAAGGGAGGAAAGCAGTAGTATCTTCAAGAGGAAGCATCTTTTGTTTGTAGGAACAAACATAAGAAGTTGTTCTAGTATTTTCATTGTATTTCTTTTTAGCATTTATCAATCTAGTATTGAAGTATTGAAAGTCATACACCTGGAATGTGTTAGAACAACTACCAAAACAAGACCAATATTCCTTATTACAGAAGAGTGGTCAAAACTGAGAAAGGGTGGACTGTGTTAGTTTCCTAATACATTAATTGCAGAATTGAGATTCAAAAGCAAACAGTTATTCTTTTTTCCTTCATGAATGTGAAAGCTCCAGGGAAGTGGGAAGGCCAAAACACCATCCTTTTTAAAAAAAATTACACAGGCTATTTTGTTTTAAAAGCCTATTATGCTAAACAGATTGTACTTCAACATTTATTTTAGACTACTACCTTTATTTACCAACAGACATATCACAGCAATATGCCTCCTTTCATTGAAATGTTTCACCTTGGAAATGTATTGGCCTAAGAGAGACTTTGAAATTTGGGACAGGGTGGGTGGGTGTGCGGCACTGCTTATTTTGCTTTTTCAATTGTTTGACCTCAATACATAGCCAGAATGTAGCCTGACTAGTATTTTACCTCTTTCTAAATAATTGAACAGTGCAAAAACTGTAGTAGGAGTAACATTTTCTTTGTCCCCATAACCTTTGAGTGGTGATGAGAAAATCTTTAAAAATTAAAGAATGTGTTTTGCTATTTGAGCAGCGTCTATGGCACATTACAGGCACTGAGTCTATACCAGCTCCATTGTACTGAAGCTGCTTAGGTCAGAATACTGTCCTATTATCATATGATATTGGTGGCTAAAGCATTTTCATTATTTCCTCTGTTTGTATTTCCAAACATAGCAATACGCAGGGAACCATTATCTAAGATTCTTTGTGGTAGCAAATATATTTCTACTTGCATTAATGTGATTTTCTCTTAGCTGCTTTTATTCTTCATTCAGCATAGGTTATCCTAAGATTACTTTGTGGGGTGGGGGGATAGAGAACCTTTTTACATTTTGTACATTTATGTTTAGTTATATTTTATGTATGGTTCATGGTAGGTCTTAACTGAACAGTACATTGTTTCCAGTTGTTTTTCTGAGAGCAAGTTTTGACATGTCTAGGGATGGAGTTTCTGTATTCAATCAGTTTAGAATGAGTAACTTCTAAAACTTCTTCATGCTTTTTCTCACACTATGATCTCATATTCTTGAGAGTGATCTGTCACAGAACAGATTTTTACAGATTTGAAAAACCAAAGTGAAATGGTGGCTATTGAAAAAAACAATGCCTGGTAGTTCTCAAATTTTATCTTTTTGTTTCTTCCCTAATTCAATATAGAAAATGAGTGAAGACTAATCCTCTAAACACACTTACCTTGGGATAATTGAACACTGTGGAATTTCTGAAATGGTGACCTAGAATTGTCTCAGATCTTAGTAATTGCAGCTGAGAGACACATGCACACATTCTTTGATACAAATTAGCGATAATAAATCTTTAAAACAATCTTAAACAGAAGCACAAACTTTCATGCTTCTGTTTAAGATTGATAAATGTTGTTGTTAGTGTTAGTAGTTGCAAAGTCGTGTCCGACCCATTGTGGCCCCATGGACAATGTGCCTCCAGGCCTTCCTGTCCTCTACCATCCTCTGGAGTCTATTCAAACTCACTCCCACTGCTTCGGTGACTCCACCCAACCACCTCATTCTCTGTTGTCCCATTCTTCTTTTGCCCTCAATTGTTCTCAATTGTTAATTAGCAAGACATAATATTTTTTGTTTTTTAAACTTTGGAAGTTTGGAAAGGGAATACCATTTTCAAGAAAACTTTTAAAAGTATGAAACATGTGAAGGAATTATTCTCTCCACCATTCATAAACTTTGTCAGAAAGAAAAGCCTGGGGCAGCTTTTCTCAGAAGTTTGCCATACTGACTGTAATTCATACATTTGGATGATATTAGGCTGAGAAAACCTGTCACATAATTTTATCAAGGCTAGTGGAAAATGGTTTACTGCTGAAAGAGAAGATGGTGCTTCTCAACTAACTGCAAACAATTTCAACTAAATGATTCGACAACTAGATATCAGGCTACAGTCTGTGCCAAAAGGAGAAATATAGAAATAAGAAATCAGTCAAGCAGCATAGACCGATGTGAAAACCAGCGCTGCATTTCCTGGGTTGGATGAAGAAAGCACCTCTTTCTCCTTCCACTTTTTGGCCACTTTTTACAGAGGCATGATTGAGAGCATTTTAACAAACTGCATCACTGTTTGGTTTTGTGGCTGCAGTGCCTCAGAGAGAAAGGTATTCAGAGAGTGGTAAGGACAGCTAAGAAATTTATAGCTCGCTTCCTGTAATTCAGGATACTGCTTATAAGCGCTATGTGCTTAGAGCTCAAAGCATTGCTAGAGACCCCACACACCTGCTTAATGTTCTGTTTCTGTTGCTCCCTCCTGGGAGGATATTTCAAAGTATTTCTAGCAGGACTACACAATTCTTTAACAGCTTTGTTCCCTATGCCATCCATTTGATAAACTTGCAAGATTTGTTTTTCTCATCATGTACTGGTACATGTATGCATCCGAACTAGACTGTGCTGTTTTTCTGTGTCATATAATATATATAAGTATTTGCATAATTTTGTATGTATTTATTTATTTATCTATTTATTTATTTAGTCATGTTTATGTAGTGTATATTGGAGGTGGTGACCCTTTGAGAGTTATAGGCATTGAAATTTCATTTTAATGTATGCTGATGAGTATACATTCGAAGTGACAATAAAGTTGGTCTAAGTCTACATTTGGGTGACCTACTGGATTACACAATTATCCAACCTGATCTTGGAAAGTTTGATAGGCTGATCAGTAGGCCTAGCAATAGAGACAGGAGAGAGTAAGGACTACTGATTCTGCCAAGCATGGAGTGAGTAGAGAAGAGTGGGAAGAAGCAAGTTGTGCTTACACACACTACTAAAATCTACTGCCTGATGCCAAGGCCTCATTCAATAAGGGTAGTTTTGCCTTTTGGCAGTCTGGGTTATCCCAACAGACTTGGGATGTAATGCCTCACTTTTTTAGGTAAGATATATAGTCACATTTTACTGCTTAAAAGATGCTTGTAGCTTGTACATAATATTTGGGTTGCATCTAGTAAAGCTATTCTTTTTTATTATTTCAGATTTTCCCAACAATTGTGTTTATACCTTGCTTTTAAATGTTAAAAAATGGAACCAATATAAACCTTAATTATGTTCAACCAAGCTAAATATTGCAGCTTTTATTTATGGTGCAAATTAAATAACTGTTGATCATCTGCTAAGAAATAATGTAAAAATGTCATATGTAACTCTAAACTTGCTTGAAATAAATAGGAATAATAAGAAGGCACGTCATATAGAATCATACTAACATGCAAAAGGAGATTAAGCAATACTGTAGGAAAATGCATTACCCTAATTAATTATTACAATCACTTTGGTCAAAGTAATAATTACTTTTCAGGAAGAAAAGAAGAGTTTATAATTATATCTATGTAGACGAAGATATGCAGGTTACCTATTTGCAAGCGATTCACAAGAACATATTCCAGACTTTAAAGAAAGGAAAAAGTAACATTTTAAAGTTTATAGAGTTTAGATCAAGCACCATTGTATATTCAGTTTCTAATAATTATGTTTTGCATTCTTGCAGGTATTAAAACAATGGGAAATGCAGAGAGTCAAAGTGTAGAGCATCAATTTTATGGTGAGAAACATGCTAGTTTGAGCCGAAAGCATACATCACGTTCTCTTCGCCTTTCAAACAAAACAGTACGCCGGACCAGACATGCATCCTCAGGAAAAATTATTCACAGAAACTCAGAAGTAAGCACAAGATCCAGCAGTACTCCCAGCATCCCCCAATCATTAGCAGACAATTGTTTGGAGTCTTTTACTCAAGAATCCAATTTAGGGGATTTTGGAAGCCCAATCTGGGGGGACAGAATGGATATGGGCTTGAGGCCAGTTTCTTACCACACTGATTCTTCTGTCACTCCAAGCATGGATAGCAGTTCAGCTCTTATGGCAGCCTCAGTACAAAGCATGCCAGATTCAGAAGGTGGAAGACTCTACAGAGACGAGTCAACATATTTGTCTGAAGTAGGTGGTAGGCAACATTCTTATTCAACAAATGGGACCACATTTTTGGAGCCTATGACTTTCAAGAAAAAACGTTCAAAGTCTGCAGATATCTGGCGGGAGGACAGTTTGGAATTTTCTCTGTCTGATCTTAGTCAAGAACATTTGACAAGCAATGAAGAAATCCTAGGATCTCCTGAAGAAAAGGATGGCGAAGAGACTCCAGGGAGAGAACCTAGTAATAGTCGTCAACCCTTGGTCACATGCCAGCGTGCCAATTCCATGAGTGACTTGTATTCTCCTAAAAGTTCAACTGTTACAATAAACGGTGGACCACGTAACATGCTAGGAGGGTATTGTCGGAATATAGGGTCTCATATCCCAGATATGGAAAACCACAAAATGTCACCAAACACAGTGGATAATGTGTCGTCTTATAGTACTTACAACACACTTCCCTGTCGAAAATCTCATTGCCTTTCTGAAGGAATCAGTCACATCAAAATGAACCACAGCAACAGTATGCATGGCAGACGAGCAAAAACAACACAGGTAAGAAGCCCATATATTCTTTCAACATAGATAAATAGCAGGTTGGCTGATAACACTTTTACTTAGATAACTTCAGGTAAGTTCTGTTTAGTTTCAGATCCTTTATAGGTAATAAAAGGGCAATATAGGTATTGACAGAACTGAAGCAATTCCTTTGTTTAAAAGAGAACTTTGTTTTCCAACATTTCTTATCTTACATTAAAACTTTTCTGAGAATAGGACTCTCAAAACATTCCTGATGGTAATTGAACTTAAGCTAAATCGTAGAGAATAGCAATTCCCAAACTAGAATTTTTCAGATATACTGCAATTAAGTCCCAAATTTCTCAACTGGGTTGGCCAAAGGTATGTCCCAACAAATGTAGAAGGTATTTATGTTGGCTAGTTCAAAGGAAGTGCATTTTCACTCCATGAAAAATTTATGAATGGTGAAAAAAAATCAACTGCTTAATTATCAGTATATACACAGTCCATGATATTTGTATTTTACTAATGTTGGAAGAAGAAAATTTTCCTCTTCTACTAAAAAATAATTTACTCTATTACACAGGAAATAGTGTTGCTACCCATGCTATCTGTTGTATTTCTTAAAAATTGGTTTAAAAATAAATATACTTGATAGGGAATGAAACAATATAGAAGTACACTCATCAAAGCTGATTATTACAAAAATCAAACAAATCTTGTTTTTTTAATCAGAAGTATTATATGATGATTGCCTGATAAGATTTCCAGCAGCCACTTCCTGATGAACTTCTATTTTTCCTTGCAAACGATTAAGCTTTCAGTCAACTTACTTTTAAACTGATTATGCATCTACATTTGATTAATGGAAGCAGTCTGAGAATTCATTCTTATTCTAGAGATGCAATATGAATTAATAGCCAAATGTAAAAGAAAAGGTTTTTTTGAAGCTTTTGTAAACAATATTGATTGGTGAAGAAGAGAAACATAGAGCTTTCTTCCATTTTTAATAATTTTTATTCCTTTTACCTTGACAGGTTAACATTTTTAGAAATAGTAATTTGAAATATGCATTTGTGTTTTGCTTTGAATTTACATTTTTCAATGTTTTGGACTGAAATGGTATATGAACCAAGGGCTTAAAAAATGAAAAAAATGATATCCCATTCAATTTATGCAACTTTTCCAATTGGAATGTTTCTGAAAATATCCTTTGCAGAGTACAGATTTAAGGAATAAGTGCTATGATAATCTTAGTATAATGTTCTTCAGTAATCTCTTAATTGCTTTCCTTCAACATTTGATGTGAAATGTAGTCAGTGGAGTGAAACAGAATAGATATAATTTCCTAGTATTCTGATTTTCTTATATTTTCAACCTTGATATAGTGGGAAGGATTCAATGGCCCTGTGAATAATAGTGGCAGGATCATGAGCTGATAGTACCTTGGTGGGGTCATCATGCAAACTTGATCAAAAAAGAGTAGTATGAAGCTCACGAAATTAACAATCAGTTGAGGACAGGGGGACTTTGCAGTGTGAGGGAAGCCAACAAACTTAGGAAATGGATCTGCAGAATCAAACATGGAAGAAGGCAAACCACTTTTGTGTTGTTGCCAGGAGAATAGTATAGACATGGCTATAACATTAGTTATAGTTTAGGTGCCAAAGGGATCAGGCATCGGTGTTCTTCTCCTCTGTTCTTCATTATTATTATTTACATGCATTATTTATAAATTTATTATAGTTCACAGCCATAGACTCTGGGTAGTTTACAAATCAATATGAAAATAATAGAATGCATTAAAAACACACAACCCATTGGCAACCAAGACTAAAATGGTCAAACAATCAAACAGCCTAAACCAAGATCCTCACCAACATAACAACCCCAGTCCTGAGACCAAAACTAGGACTTAAGTGCTTTTCAGAACACTAGGAGAGAGAGCTCTGTCTGTATCTCTGAGGGAATACTGTTCCAGAGGGTGGAGTTTGTTACAGACCAATAAGGCATACTTCCTTCCCATAAGATGGCATCATTGATTAAAAGGGTCCTGGAGCATCCCCACTCTGCTGCAATGTGCCAGATGAGCAGAAACAGTTGTAGATAGTTACTGGGGAAGAACATTAAAATTTCACGAGAAAATTTAAAAATGATTTGGAATAGGGAAGGAAATGAGACAAGGATGTGTTTTATGCTATATGTCTATAATTTACACAACAAATATGAGTGGTAGACTCTGGAGAGATGCTTCCTGGACTCAATATTAAACACCAAACCATTAACAACTGAGATCTGCAAATGTTGCCACTTTATTAACTGAAAGCTTAGAAAGCTAGGAAATTCTGATTATTAAAGTAAAAACAAAGGGGAAAAATCTTGTTTAGCATTAAATATTAAGAAGATAATGTTGATATTAACTAGCAAGCATACACTATGGCTTCTATTTTGTTTGCTGTAAAGCCATTCATTTGGTCATGTTGCTCCTCCTAAAGGCTTTGCCTTTAATGAATTCCTTAGTCTTTTAGTGTGGAAATTTATTGCTGAACCGGGCATGAAGTCTGGCACTTAGTGAACTTACAATTTATAGGAAAGTGTAGAATTTTTTTATCCTGAACAATAGAACAATCTTGGAAAGTCAGTAGAAGATTATATAATGCTAGAGAGAAAGCTAATCACGATTTAGACAAGATCATGAAGGATAACAATACTATTACAACAAAATACAGAATAGTTAAAGCAAAGTTTTAACTGCAGTGATTATATGGCTATAAAAGCTAGATATGGAGAAAACTAGACAAAAGCAATACCTTCCAGTTATTTCAGTATGTAGGTAATTTGCTAAGAATAGTTAAGAGTACCATGCCTGAAAGAAAAATCAGTCTATAGCAAAATAAATGCTAGTTTTTTTTCTTGAGGCAACTATCAGTAAGCAGAAATTCCCATACTTTGCTATGCATTTGGAAAACTATCTACGTTTAGCATAGGAGAGGGAAAGGGAAGACTATGTATGTATGTATGTATGTATGTATGTAGGTAGGTAGGTAGGTAGGTAGGTAGGTAGGTAGGTATATGTATGTATGTATGTATGTATGTATGTATGTATGTATGTATGTATGTATGTATGTATG